GTCCATGTAGCTACATAATCTACACTTGAGCCCCAAAGTAGGTATACGGGAAACCCTTTTGCCCTTGCCCCTAGGGATATATCATGTTCGTACATGGAACCTTTGTGTTTGTACATACCTGACAATCTGGTTAGTGATCCACGCTCAAAGCAGAAGAGGATCCAGGGTGCTTTTGTACAGCTTGCGTGCCTCTTCTCCTTGCATGCGCGTCTTCACGGTGTCCTGCCGAAAAAATGGTTTCATGGTTCCATGGGATAGGTAAGCTTAGCTTCCCTGTTTAAATTCTTAAATGCGAGCTTAGCTGGAAAAAGAGGGTAGTCAGAAATAGCATTAAACACTATATGGGGACTACTGTGAATAGCAGCTCCCATGTTCCCCACTACGCACAAGTAGCCGTTCAGCATGTGATAGGATGATGCATGACGTACTTACTAGGCGTCCCATCAACTCAAAGAGTGCATTTGAGCTTGTCAGTAGACTTCAGCTCCCAATGCAAGTAGCATTTTTAGACTTAGAGGTCAGGGGTCTACTGAGATGCTAACAAAGTTCCCTAAACCCTAAACCCTAAACCCTAAACTCTGGAGCTCAAAGGCTGGCGAACGAGAGTCAGGGTTTAGGGTTTAGGCTTTTGGGGTGTAGGGGTTAGGGCAAGGAGGGCTTAAGTGCTTAATTTGAATTATCCTGTGAGTGTTCTCTAGCCCCATACCGTACCCCGAACGTGCATGCACATGTCAAACTCTAAGCTCTCACAGCTTTGGCCGCAAATCCTGATCTGCATTGCCTAAGCATCATTCCTAACTAAACCCTAAACCCTAACCCTCACAACTACTTGCCTTGAGGCCGGGTCTCTAACAAAGAGCCGTTTTTCAAAACCACAACTCCTAATGCTAAGGTTTAGGGTTTAGGGTTTAGGGTTTAGGTAACATGTAAACCCTGATCCCAGCCATAACCCTCATCCTAAATCACAGCCTACATTTCTTAACGCACAAACTACAAGCTGAGGTGCCTTGTTCTGAGATTGTAGCTGCCCCGGAAAGTGAGGAGGCAGTAGTTATATAAGAACCACACATGAACCGTGAATAATGGCCAAAACCCAAGGGGTCCATGCAGTATATAGTATATACTTGAGACCCAAAGTACGCATGTGGGAAACCCTTTGGGCCCTAAGT